CCTTCAAATGAACCAGTGTTTAGTTAATACATAAATTGCTAATATTAAAGTTCTTCCTGCAGTAATAGTCAATTGTTATTATTTTTAAATCTTCAACTTTAAATTTTACTTTTCATAATTGTTTTAAGTAGATTCTGTATTCTATCATTATTGCTATCATTGATTTACATTTAATATAGATCTAGAAATAACATTAGGTCTAGCTTTCTCAGATAAATCATCTCTATCCTTTTATATATGCTTGAAATCAATAATTTCAACTTTTGGTTCTTCTGGTTCAGGTGGTTTATCGCCTTTCTTAGCTATATTTTATGGTTTCTCCTCTTTTTTTCCTTAATCAAATACAAGATCATGAATTTTAGTTGTTATCTCTATTTTTCTCATGATATATGAAAGCTTTTAATTTTGTTATCAATTCATTAGAATTCTATTTTTTTATGTCATCTTCAAAACTAGCAAGATAAAAAACATCACAATAAACCAAATTTCCTTCTGATTTAGGTTATTATTTTTGTCTTGATTTCTATCTTGATTATTATAATTATAATTATTAAAACTGAGATTTCTCTTATTTCTTACTCACACTCTAAGATTGATCCTTTTTTTCTTTAATTTATATTTTATTATTTTTATCTTTAGATATTGGAATTGGTTCAACTATTTCTTCTTTCTTTGGTTTATATTCCTAAGCTAATTTCTTCATTACTTGCATTCAATCAATTTCTGAATCTCAAAACCATATTGATCATATTATTTCTTTGACGCAACTATTTATAAATGGAATTTATTTCCATTATACATTTCATCAAATCTAATTCATCAGGCAAATATTTAGATTAAAAATTATCAAAAATTACACCAGCACCACAATCTTCATATGCAAATCTTGTTTTTAACAGTTTTACATTTATTACTTCACTCAAATATTCATACAAATGTTAAGGAATATGTCCCCATTTATCTTCTGAATCTTTAAATTTCTTTTCAGCCTTCTCTAATAATTTTTCTCTCTCCTATTATCCAAATTGAATTTCATTTTATCTATTTTATAAAACCACTATTTAGAACTAAAACAAATCTTGTTTCTTCTTTTTGTCAGCAGTTAGTTTTATATATTAGATTATGATCATTCACAATCAATTTCTTTATCATTTCCAAATCTTAAGAAAATGATTTTCTTTTATCCAATTAAAACTTTTCCAAAATCAAATTAACCTTCAGCACAATTCTCAATTACAATTTAAGTAATGTAATAGAGATATTGGCAACTAAATCTAGATGAAACTTTGGACCCTTTTTTAATTCAATATGCACAATAGTTTTTGTAGGATCAAATCCCATATTATTTTTAGTTTAATATTAAAATTTCAAAGTGATATTAGCACCACTAGGTAAATTCAAAACTCTCTCTGGTACAATATTGTAACCTTTAACGTTTGAAATATTTGGCATCCAAAATAAATTCAACAGGTATTGTTCCTTATTAAATGTTATTGTTTTTTATCTAATATAATAATATAGAACTACATTCCAAAATCAAAAACACAAGTACCCAAAATTACGCTATCATAAAACTTTTCTTTTTAATCCCTTTAATGTGTTCTTTCATCCTATTTATCTAAAACCGTCTTTTTAATTTATTTACAAAATATCAATCTGTCTATATTTCTTGCTACCTCTTATTAGAATTATTCTAAGTCTTAACTTAAACTTTTTAATTAGATGTCTTATCAGCTTTATTGGCATCACTACATTTTACAACTCATGTATTCCAGTCCACCATCAGTTTATACAATTTTTATATTGCAGTTATTATTAATTAATTTAAAAAAAATATATAGAAGATGAAAATCTTGAAATATTGATTTCTGGGGCATTTAATTTCATTAAAACATTAATTTTGAATATTTATAGGTGCTGCTTTATTTTTTTTTTATGAATAATAATTAAAATAAAGAAATGAGTAATAATCAAACACAAGAAATGAGTATTAATCAAAAAAAAGAAAGGTAATATAATAGAGGAGTATATTGGGTTTACAAATACTACAATAAAGACTTGTCAGCTAGCACTTACAAGGTTTTTAAGAAAGAATAGTATTCAATCAAAGGAGTAGCATCTTATGTTGCTTAATTATCAATTAATGAAATCACTTAAATACAATATTTGCACTGCAGGTGCAATTTACACAAGGACTTACTTCAGAAAAAGCAGTTTAATATAAGTTAAACTTAAGGGATACCTCTGTTATACCTATCAAAAGTACTAACAAGTAGAAAATTATTTCAAAAAAATTTTAATTTAAAAAAAGAGTCATTAATACAAAGTATTATGCTGTTGATTCTAATCCAATCGATTAATTATCTCAATTAGTATAATAATAAAATTCATAAGATAATAATAATGAGTCACCTAATAATAAAAAACAAAATAAGAAATAAAAAATAAGAAACAAACATTAAAAGATAAAGTCATAACATATGAATTGATATAATAATAAAATATTAATTAAAAGAAATCGTAAAATAATGATAGAGCAAATGAATCAATTGATATGTTTGCTTAAATTTTTGAGTCTAATCTTAGATTAGAAAGAAAAATTGAATAAATATAAGGAGAAAATAGAATATAAAAAGAAAGCATTAATAAAATAAGTGAAGAAATATAATTCTGTAATTCATAATTGAATGAATACAAGAAATAAAATTAAGAAATATAAAAATAATAAAAAATGTTTGTTGAATATCACGATAAAATACGATAAGATCAAGAAACATAAACATAAATTATTGAGGAGTTTCCAATTAAAATTCTAAATAATTTACATCTACCAAAGCAAAAAAAAGCGGAAAACATATCACTAATAGAAAAAAACTAGTTCCATTCTAAAAGTCGTAGCCAAGGCAAAAGTAGAAGTAAATGTAAATGATTTTATTAATTATAATTTATAAAAATAAAAATATTTTTATTGTCTTTGCTATTAAATTATGTTTTCATTTGTGCAGAATGGTTGAAGTTTTCAATTTATTATTATAATAAATTGTAAGGATTTCTGAGTTATAGCTGTAAAAATATATCTCATAGTATATCCAAAATAACTTAAAGTAGTATTTATGAAGTTAGTGAATTTTTATTGTAATTTCTGGAGTATAATATGCTTAGACAAGATAATAAAAAGCCAAATTGGATGGTCACACTAGTAATGTGTACTCGGTCTGTTTCTCTCCTGATGGTACTACTTTAGGATTTGGTTGTGTAGATAACTCTATCTGTTTATGGGATTTTAAGACAGTATAATAAAAAGCAAAATTAGAAGGTCATATTAGCAGAGTCTTATAAGTCTGTTTCTCCCCTGATGGCTCTACATTAGCATCTGGTAGTTATAATAAGTCTATCCGTTTGTGGGATTTTGAAACAGGTTAATAAATAGCCAAATTTGATGGTCATTAATACTAAATCAACTCAATTTGTTTCTCTCCTGATGGTATTACATTAGCATCTGGTAGTGAGGATAAGTCTATAGGGATATGGGATGTTAAGACAGTATAATAAACTGCCAAATTAGATGGTCATTAATATTCAATAAACTCAGTTTGTTTCTCCTCTGATGGTACTACATTAGCATCTGTTAGTATTGATAAGTCTATACTTTTATGGGATGTTAAGACAGGAAAATAAAAAGCCAAACTGAAAGGTCAATCTGTCTGTTTCAGTCTTGACGGTACTCTCTTAGCATTTGGTAGTCATGATAAGTCTATTGGTTTATGGGATGTTAAAACTGGATAATAAAAAACCAAATTGGATGGTCATACTAGCAATGTCTACTCAGTGTGTTTCTCTCCTGATGGAACTCTTTTAGCATCCGGTAGTGCTGATAAATCTATCTGTTTATGGGATGTTAAGACAAGATAATAAAAAGCCAAATTAGATGATCATACTAGTAATGTATACTCGGTCTGTTTCTCTCCTGATGGTTCTATATTAGCATCCTGCAGTGTAGATAAGTCTATTTATTTATGGGATATTAAGACTGGATAATAAAAACTCATATTAAATGGCCATAGTAATTATGTAAGATAAGTTTGTTTCTCTCCTGATGGTATGACATTAGCATCTTGTAGTGCAGATAAGTCTATCCGTTTATGGGATGTTATAACTGGATAATAAAAAGCCATATTGAATGGTCATAGCGAATTGGTTCAATCAATTTGTTTTTCTCCTAATGGTATTAATTTAGCTTCTGGTAGTTGGGATAACTCTATCCGTTTATGGGATATTAA